GGCCTGGGTCCCGGGCTCTCCGCGCGGTGTGAGGAGCCGGAGGGCGCTTTGGTTGAGGAAATACGGATGGTCTCGGCCAGTTGGGTTGGGTTGGATGCTTTCGTTCTGTCCCCCGTTCCCGTGTCTGTGTGTCCCAGGCTTTCCTTCTTATTTTTTTTCTTTTAATATGTATTTTTTCTTTTCGCAGTGATAGCACAAGGGAAGGTTTATTTTTCTTCCTTTTTTTTTCCTAATTTTTCTTCTCTCTCTCTTTTAAGTCCGTGTTTAGAGGCGCTGGGGGCTTTATCCCCGTGTGGTTTTATTTACTTTCAGTGTGTTTTGTGCTAATGGTTTAACTGGATTTTGGGAATGAAAAGGAGCATCTGTTTGCGATCTGTGAGCTTCGCTTAAGCCCAAAATGGTCGTAGTGGCCGCAGTTTCGGATTTCACTTTCTTCTTATTAGTTTAAGGAGCAGTTGCAATTGAGTGTTGTGTGTGTTCTGTGCATAAAGTACATAAATAAAACCATAAACTATATAAATAAACTGCACGTCTAGATGGTTATATAGTTTTATAACCACGCGTGCACACAGAGTCAGGCACATATCTAGTCCGTACACACAAAGACCTGTGCTCGGAATTTGAGGCTAGAGCCGCTGTCGATCCTAGGAGAGGATGGCTGCGGGGTAGTTCTCTCTCCCTGCAAAGTGACAGGGAAACTACTTGCTTTCCGCCTGTTCATAACACAGTGCATAAAATGTCGTGCAGTCTTTATTCGGGGTGGTATAAAAGATCTGAGGGTCTCTCTTGTTTTTCCTGTCGAGAAACACTATGCGAGTGGCTGGAAGTTGCAGCGAGGTTGTGAACTGTGCGGGATATTGGGCGACGTTGAGCCTATGACTCTGCGATCTGCAGGGTACAGAGACGTGCTAAAAGTTAGCGAGTTTCTTAGGGATATCTTTAACTTTTCTTGCATTATGCAGACTTAAATAAGCGCAATTTAAACGTTAAAGAGCGAATTAAAATGCTAATTACATCGCATTTGAACAATTCGAAACGGTGCATATCTTCTGATTTGCAAATTGGATTTGCAATGCATTAGTGCAGTGAATTGCTAAGTGGCGGCTTTGTTGTATTTTCTATAGCAAAAAGGAAACATCTTTTGAACCTTTGAGAGAAATGTTGATATCAAGACGCTACCTGTAGGGCCTTTAAAATGTCTGCGCGGTTCAAAAATTATTTTGGGAAATATTCAATTACAAGGAGCTGAAATTAGCCAGAAAGATTAAAACATCGCCGATTTTAAGCGCGTGTGCCTGTGTCTGTGTGCTGGGCGGAGGAAGGGGGGGGGGGAATTGTAACTTAATGGCCTTTGGGTGCTGCTACTCCCCCTCATAGAATATGGATACAAGACACCATCCCGGGGAAATACAAATATAACCGCCGATCTCGCCTTGACAACTCACTAATGGCTATCAGCAATAACAAATTGCCAACCCCACCGTTCTGTTCTGTCCAGGGCTCCCCTTACGACGCCCATACGACGGGGATGACCGGAGCCATCAGCTACCACCCGTACGGCAGCCCTGCCTACCCCTACCAGCTCAACGACCCCGCGTACAGGAAAAACGCCACCCGCGACGCCACGGCCACGCTGAAGGCCTGGCTGCAGGAGCACCGCAAGAACCCCTACCCCACCAAGGGCGAGAAGATCATGCTGGCCATCATCACCAAGATGACCCTCACCCAGGTCTCCACCTGGTTCGCCAACGCGCGCCGGCGGCTCAAGAAGGAGAACAAGATGACCTGGCCCCCGCGGAACAAGAGCGAGGACGAGGACGACGACGAAGGCGACGGGGCGAGGAGTAAGGAGGAGAGTCCCGACAAGATGCCCGAGAGCAACGAAACCTCTGCGGAGGACGAAGGTAGGCGTGGGGTGCCTGCGGCCCCGGTGGGGTGGCTCCATCCCGCCCCGTCGAGTCCCCCGGGAGCGGGGCAGCGGGGCAGGAGCGGGGGGCGGCGTTTAACAAAAGCGACCCCCAAACCCGTCCCGTCTGGTCGCCTCCGGCTGCTCAGGTCACTTGTCGCGATCGGTGCCTGTGGCCGAGGCGGGCGGGGGGCGGCTGGCGGGGAGGTGCGGGGGGCGCCGCGGAGGAGCCGGCCCGTGGGGATGGATGCTCCTGGGAGCGGGAAAGGCGGGGGTGGCTTGAGCCTGCCCGGCCGCAGCGGTGGCGCGGCGGTGGCGGGGCTCGCTGCTCTCCCGCTCTGCTCTGCCGCCCCTCCTCACTGCCTCTCTGTGCCCGGCGGGCCTCCGCAGGGATCAGCTTGCAAGTCGACTCGCTGACGGACCACTCCTGCTCCGCCGAATCGGACGGCGAGAAGCTGCCCTGCCGAGCGGGAGACCCCCTCTGCGAGTCGGGCTCGGAGTGCAAAGACAAGTACGAGGACATCGAGGAGGAGGAAGAGGACGACGACGAGGACGACGAGGAGGACATCGAGGAGGACGACGGCGGCGGCGGGGAGCGTGACCCGCCGGCCAAGCCCGCCACCTCCTCGCCACTGGCGGCCGTGGAGGCCCCGCTCCTCGGCCACCCGCACGCCGACGCCGCCCGCAGCGCTGGCAAGGCGGCGCTGGGGCCCCGCGCCTCCCCCGGCCCCCCGACGCCGGCCAGCAAGCCCAAGCTCTGGTCTCTGGCCGAAATCGCCACCTCGGACCTCAAGAGTCAGACCCTGGGCCAAGGCTGCCAGCCTGCGCCGCTCTCCTCGGCCACCCCCGCCTCCGCCCCGCACAGCGCTGCCTACTCGCCCTCCTCCCTCCTGGGGAGGCATATTTATTACACCTCACCTTTTTATAGCAATTATACAAACTATGGGAACTTTAACGCTCTGCAGAGCCAGGGAATCCTGAGATACAACTCCCCAGCAGTGGCTTCAAACGAGGGACTAAGTCAGACTGTCCTAAATGCCAGCTCTGTCCACAAACAGAGCAGTGACTCTTTGAAAACGATCACTAACCAGCTAGAACAACATTACAGGCCCTCTAGCTATGACTCTAAGAAAGGTAGGTGACTTGTTTTTGCCTCTTTCTTCCCCCTTCTCCCTCGTCCTCCTCCCCCTACCCGTAGACGTCCCCTGCGCGCTGTAAATACTGAAACCTTCTCTGGAAAAAACAGCGAGCTCGGTGCCACCGCTGCCAGAGGGAAGATGGGCACTCACATAACCTGGGGATTAAAACCGGCGTGCCGCCGTCGTACCTGCCCCTAAGAACCGCGAGAGGAAATGTGAAAGACGACTTTTAGATCAGTCTCACAGGCTGCAGATGCAGCTTTGAAAGTAGTTTTCTTTTTGAAAAAAGGGAAACTACACACAAAGCTATCCAGACAGCATTGGTGTCATTGCCTGTAATTTTTTTTTTCCTGACAAACTGGTTTGACTCTCTTTGTTTCCAGTATTCTCACGGGGTTTTTTTCAGCTTTGGGTTCAGATAATTGCTGACCTTGGACGTGAAATTACGCGGAGCGTGACATTTTTTGTAACTGGTTGCTTCTTAGTTTGTTTGGGTTTCGGGGTTTTCTTTCCCGAAAAAGTTTTGCACTAATATGGTTGTCATCTTATCCTACAAAATTACTCGAGATACAGGCAAATATAAAATATTGGCTAGTCTTTTAAGCGACCCAGCTGTGAATTGTGCACCAGTGAGGGTTGGGACCTACACAGACTGTATAATCTAGTTAGCTGGCTGTGTCCTGTGACTAACTGACGGTTATATTTTGACAGATCCCACTGAAGTCTGCACAGTAGGAGTACAACCATACCTATAGAAGTGCAATCACACAGCAATGCAAGTAAGTGAGAACATTTTCTATTACACTGATCATTTGGCATCAGGTCTGAGACGTGCTGCACAGTTCTAGACTCGCTTAACGTTAATTTCTTGCTTCGTTACTTGAGAGTTTGGTCACAAAGTAAAACATTATTTTTTCTGCTGTTTTCGGAAACCCCATATGACTACATTTATTTCTTGGGTTTGTCTTAATTTTCAAGCCAGGTTAGACAGTTCCCTCACTTTGCATACTCTTCGCTTGTGTAAGGCAAAGCCGTAGGGACTACTTAAAAGTTGCGGAAAGAAATCTTCAGGAAAAAATAAAAAACCTTTGCAGGTATTGTTCTTTAGAAACAGAGTGCTCGTGCTCACGTGGCAGTGCTAAAATTGAGTGGGACTTCACGCAGTGGCTGCGTATTTGAAATAAAAAGGACAACTGTAAGAAACCGACATGAATCTTATGCAAGGCAGTCTGTGACTTGGCTCTTGCCTAGCTAGCAAAGGCACTCTGAATACTTCCACTACTTAGAACTAAGTAAACAACAACAAAAAAAAAATCACCTTGCCTATATTTTTCAACTAACTTCTATTTTTGTTAGAAGAATTTAAAAGAGTAAGAATTTTGCTTTACTTCCTTTCCCGCCCACCCTGTTTAATGGTGTTAGAGTTTAATTGAAGGATTTTTGGATGATCTGGTTTTTTCCTTGGTCCACAGGTAGGTGTCACAATTGCTTTGAAAAAAGTCAGCAAGCCATCATCTCTCCCCGAGCTAATATATATAACAAATCTCTAAATCCGGATCACATCTGGTGCCACTGTATAAAAGAAGACCACAGAGCACTATTAAATCTTCAGAATCTAATTATTAAACCAGAATTTTGTTGGACATATGTGAGTTTGCTGGTATAGTATAGTTTCCCCAATGTATGTGTGACTTTTGAAAACAGATCTGTTTTTCTCAGGATATCTTGAATTGATCACTTCATTGCCACGGTATCTATTCGATAGGTGTGATAGGATTTATTGTAAAATTTATTTGTAAAAGATGTATACAGTAGAGATAATAAAGACGTGATTGGAGAACTTGAGTCCTTACAAAGTGGAAACAAATTTGATATTTATTTTTGTAACGATATAAAGCTTCTAGTAATTTATGCAAGTTGTATTGCAATGAAATCTGAACATTTTGTAAATAAATTTTGCCTGGTTTTTATTTGAAACATTGATGGTTATACAATCTTTGGTTGTTTAACAAGAATTCTTTACTAATTTATATCTCTAATTGTAAATAAAAACAGACTAGTCTGCAACAACCTTGTGTTTTTCGTTCATTTCCCTCAAACTACTAATTTATTATTTAGAAAAGGAGGAAATTTGTAATTTCAATAGTAGAGCTGAGATCATAAAATGAGTAAGCAATTTAAACATGTTGCAAATATATACTTTGCATAAATTAATTCCTTCTGGCTTGTTCCGTTATACTTAAGCTTTAAATACACTCATATGAACAAATACATATTTGTATATATACATGAATATGCGTAGAAAGGGTGATTGGAATTTATGCATGTTTCTTATAAACTATTTATACTGGGTGTGAAGTAGCTCTTTATTTACCATCCTTTAAATTCACTATTATAGGGTAAAAAATATTATCAACCACGACTTACTTCTAATTACTTATTTTCAGCTTCTGGCTAAAATATGCAAGTGAAAAAAAAAGATTAAAAGTCCAATACCTGTTTGGGGATTTTTGAATGGTTTTCCCTCTTTGTATCGGCAAACCATACCTTTACAGTTACACTGGAAATCCGCTTTGCTTTGAATCATAAAATTAGCCAACTCATCATTTTAATTTTTAGTAAAATAATGAGAATCCTCATATAATATAATTCCAGAAAAATAAACGAACAATCATTTATTTTCCCCAAAAGATAAATTGAGCGAATATAACTTACGGTTATAAAACAAGAATAATAGCTTCTTAGATTGCCCTTTAATCAATCATACACTTATTTTTCAAGAGGCTCATCTATTTTATTCCATGATTAATAATGTTCCAGCTTGAGAGCATTATTAGATCCCAGCAGGGGAGATCCTGAATGCTTTTAGCTGCTTTGGAATGGTCAGTTGGGGTTCATTATGGTCTGATATTGAACAATTTATAAAATCTTGTCTAAACATCTGCCAGCTCAGATAGGCTGATGTGTCTGAAGATGGGAAATTGCTGGACCAGTTGATATTGACAAACGGATCTCTCTCCAGTGGCTTTTTGTTCAGTGAAAATTAGTGGCCTCTTGCTCAGGTCTTGTTAGAAAGGGCATTTGAAAGTGATCTTAGATACTTCAGGCATCAGCCTTGGGAAGGTTAACTGGATAAAGAGCCCTGCTAGTCTGGAGTCCGGAAATATGCTGTGGTTATATTAAACAGGGGGAAAGGAAGCTGTTTTTCTTGAATGCATGTACACAATTCCCATGATCCATCTTCCCTTGCACACCCCCCTCACCCCTGTCTGTAATTTACCACTATAAAGACATCTAACTGACTGAGAAAATGCGTGTGTTTTTCAGCTGAAAGGGCAGAAATTAAAAATGTTAACCTGGAATAATCTGGGATCTGTCTAGCTAAATCTAAAGCAGTGAAGATCTTTGCAGCTGGAGGCCTACTCATACTCTTATGCTGTTTGTGGAATGATGCTTCTTTGCTCCTGTAGCATCCTCTTTTTCATTGAGGTAGAATGCAATTGTATCTGCATGTAGTGTGTAGCGCAATTAGGCAAACAGCTAAGAAGTAATTAACTTTTTCCCCTCCAGTTTAGCATATGATGCAGATTGCAAATATTTACTATAATCATTTTCGACCGTCTTTACTGTAGCAGTCCAGGAGGGTTTTATGGAGGGATTTTTATATCAGGGGAAACACCTGAACTTTCTTTCCCCCGCTCTTGCTCCTACACCGTGAGCCCCCACCGCCCATGTTATATGTCCCAGGTCTCTGTTGGACACAAAGTGTACATTTCAATTGGTAAAAACCAAAAGCTGTGGCAGAGATTAAAAAAAGGCTGACGACATTCCTTTGATGTTTGTACGCCCAAAGACTTATAAAAGATTTCCATAATTTACCCACCCTTGCTAGTATTTAGACCTGGATTTCTTTCTGGAAAGAAAAGTAGAAAGACTCGGAAAACTCGCTTTCAAGAATTCACTATGTATGTAAAACCCAATGGACTTCTCTCATCCTCTGAGAAATTCATAAACGGTTCATGGATGCAGATGGGCGCCACTGAAATGATTTGGCATATGAATTTATTTTTTTAAACAAGAAACTAATGGGCGAGAACTGCATATTCAACATCATTCGAGCTTTAGTAATCAAAATTGAAAGCAGGAGGAAAGTGTAGCCTTGCTAGATTGTTGGCAAAAACAATGTGATTATTTCAGTGTAGCAAGAAAGAGGGATGAACGATAAAATACATCACTCTGTGTATGGTTTATTTCATAACGATGCTAATGAGCCCGCTGGGATTAAAATCTCACACCCCTTTCTATATTTACTCCCTCTTCTCCCCACCCCCCGTCCCTCGTTTCTGCGCTCATTTCGGAGCGGGGAAGGCAAATCCTTCCCTCTTCGGGGCCGGAGGTTTCATTAGAGCTGATTTATTGAAATTCGGGCTTTAATCTCAGGTGGGATCCCGGAGGAATTGGCGCTGTCGTCAAATAGGAAGAGGGTCGCTTTCCACTTTACACTTCCTGGGCTGCTTTTTTCCTCGCTCCCTGCAAATGTCAACATTTGTTCTCAATAAGAGAGTTATTGTTTCAGGAAAGCTGCTCACCAACTGCCTTTAGGAGCAGAAAAAAAGCTTCGCCCACCTTTGTTTGGCTGGGGGAAGGGATAGGGACGGAGGTAACACGCAGCTCAGGCCAGCAGCGGACAGACAGACAGACATGGGAATTGTTGCTGCTGCGCTCCAGCTCGTGGCTGGAGGGAAACGGGCCTGGCTAAGGGGAAAGTTAATGGAAAGCGCCATGGGCATCTGCGCTTCTCTCCCTGCTCCATTGACGTATTTGCCCCCGACTTGCTCAGCCCCATAATAGAGAGGCAGGCTGCAGGGAAAGAAAAAAATGTATCAAACCCCACCAACACAACAACGAAAAGGACTGCCCTCACGGATTTCTACCCGCGGAGATGGTCTTCAGGTTTTGGGGAGGGATGGAAGGGTGATCTTCCAGGTGAAGAAAGATGTAAGGCTGGCTGTCTGATTCAGCCCTACCTGAGGCAGCGGCCTCCCTAAAGGCCATCCATCAGCTCCCGACCCAGCCCCGCGGCGAGGAGCGGGAGTGGCCGGGACCGGCCGGCCCGGAGCGGAACGGAGCGGAGCGGAGCAGCCCGGCCCGACCCGCTCCGCTCCGTGCTGGCCTCTCCGTGTCCATCCTCAAGGGGGAAAAAACTAAAAAAACCCAAAGAAAAACCAAACCAAAAAACACAACCCTGTCACCACTGAAAGTTTCTGGCTCTGTCACACGTTACATCTCACCTGAAGGCAGTTCAGAATCAGTGCTCGTCTGAGAGACTGTAGCAGGACTGTAATCAATATCGGGAGGGTTTTATTTCTTATTGATTTTTGAAACAAACAAACTACCCCTCTCCCCAAACCCACCCCACCAACACAAAACAAACAAACAAACAAAACCCCCCAAAAACAAAGACCACCCCAGACAGAATTTATATATTTATTTATAATTTATTTTGCCTTCTGCATTCAGATATATCTCGGGTACTTAGGCAAGTTTCCCACGATCCAGGTAGTCGAAAAGAGCCTTTCCATTGTAGGAACTGAATAATGACGGCAAAAAAATACTGTTATTAGAGTAATACTCCACATTAAATAATGTGATGTTCATCCCTTTGTTTTTAATCCAGTAACTAATAACTTAGGTATGTTTTCAGCTTCTAAAGGAATAAAAGCGAAGGGGAGAAAAAAAAGTTGAAAACAAAGGGATCCATAGTGCATAGTCAAAGCACCCATGCATCTAATCCCTGATTATTCCTCGGCGTGTCTGAGGCAGAGTATTTATTGAAAGTGCAGAGGGAAAGCGAGGCCGGCGGGACACTCTGGCACACAGGTAGCTGGGAGCTGCAGGTAGCGACCCGGGGCAGGCGGGCTCTGGGGGAGCGCTTTACCTGCGAGCGCCCTGCCCGAGGTGACAGCCCCGCTGCCGCCGCCCGGAGCCGTGCCCCCCTCCCGAGCCGTGACTCATGCAGTAATGTCACCACTGCACATCCAGTCCCGACCCAGCCGGCCGCTTTTTTCCCTGAGCAAAAAGTAAGGGACAGAGGGACGTGGCCACTCGGCCTCGGGGGTGGCCTCCGTTAACCTGGATCCTTTTGGGATTTAAGGGCTGGAAGGAAAGGGCGGGGGGTGTCACCCCGGCCCAGCCGTTCTCGGAAAGGCAGGAACGCGCACAGGCAGAAAAAGTCACTTCTCCGCTCCGTCTTGTGTCATCCGTGACGAGGGATTTCAAAATACTCCCGAATATTTGTGCAGGGGACAAAAAAAAACAACTCCTACTGCTCCTCGCATGGCGGCTGCGTGGGTATTGTTGCTGCTCCGGCTCTCAAAGAATGCCTAGGAAGTAAAATAAAAATAAGTATGTGCATTTTTATAGGGAGATAAATTGACAATTTATTGTGTATAACTTCTGATCAATTATTAATCGTTAGTGTCAACAACAGGGTTATAATTACCTTCAGTTATTTAAAGGGATATTTATTTTTTCTTCTCTCTGATCTGGTAATTAGTTAATGCTCTGGAGTAATGAATTCAAAGCTGATTTGATAATGATTGAGACAGGGTTTTTCCCCTCTCTTTTGGCAGCCCCCCCTCGCACGGAGGGGGAGGGGAGGAGGAGGAGGTGTCTCCCCCCGTTTGCAAAGAGCCCATGTAAAGGCAAATCACCGCGCGTTTCACTTTTCAGACCATAAATAACGATTCTGGGAGTAAAAAGGCGAAATGACAAACAAATAGAGCGCAGCTGGGATGAATAAGGCCGATCAAAGTTAGCGGGGGCCGACGCTTCCCTCAGCCGCCGCAGGTCTGAGTCCCATAAAGGTGCCAGCAACTCTTACCTCTCTCCCCGAGATCAAGGGAGAGGGCGAGCAGGACATTTTAACCCTCTGACATCTTCCCGCGAGCGGAGGAGGGGAGAGAGGGAAAGGGAAGAAGGAAACTGCATATTTCTTGTTTGGGGGAATTGATGCCTCCACCATTGCTCTAGGGAAGGGGTTTCACCTGGAGCCCGAGGAGCTCCCGCCCAGCCCGCGGAGGATGCTCGGGGGTCAGAGGGGGAGAGGCACTGAGCGGGGCTGGCTCAGCTCCTCGCAGCGGCAGAGGTGCGTGT